TGATAGCTAGCTGTCGATACAGTTATGGTATTTACAGGTAGCTGTGGATACAGTCCTAGCATGCACACACAGCTGTGGATACAGGGTTACACTGTTTATATGGATAGCTAGCTGTCGATACAGTTACGGCATTTACAAGTAGCTACTGACACACAGAGCTCTCCAGACAGAGTCATTACACTTTTTAAAGAATAAGGCTTGGCCTGTGACACAAAGAAACCACTTTCCTTGTCAGCCATGACCTACCTCAGGTTACAGAAGGCCAGAAAGTGCCCTGGCCATTGCTGCACTGTCGCTTCTCGCTGGGGTCTGTCCCTGCCTGCCCTTCCTGGAGCTGTTCTCTGCAGCCCAGCCTTGAGCTAGCGGTGGAAGCCTTGCCACACTGCTAGGCAGTGTGAGTGCTGGTCAGTACCCACTGCCTCCTCCCTAGGCAGAGCCCCTGCTTCAGGGTCCCCTCCGTGCTGCCCTGTGGGGACTCTGCCTCGGCTCCAGGGGAAGCCCGCTGGCACACACAGTCAAACTCCGCTTCAGCTGGCTCCATGAGGCTCCTGGCAGAGGACCCCTGTCTCTGGGCAGCCCGTTGCTCCTGGAGGGCAGGCCCGGGAACAAAGCACAGCAGCAGAGGCAGAGCAGATGTCCCCAGCAGGTGCCATGCCATACCTGGAGCCGGCTCCCGTGCGGGTAACAAGTCGGGCTACTGTGCTGGCCCCAAAAGCCCTGAGTGATACCTTCAACCTGCCACCTTCACACGATTTCCCCACAGGAAATCCACCTCCAGCCCCAGCCCTGAGGTCAAGGCAAGTCAATCGCTTCCTCCAGTTCCTCAGCATGGAGTGGAGAGGAAACTGTTCTTATCGTGGCCCAAGCTTTCTTCCTTCTAATGTTCCTGTGTAATTGGGAAAATCACTCATCACTAGGGAAATGCAAACCAAACCCACACTGAGACACCACCTCACACCTGCGAGGACGGCTGTAACAACAAAAGAAAGTGACAGGCACTGGCAGGGCGTGGAGACTCAGACCCCAGTCAGTTGCTGGTGGGAAGTAAAACGGTGGCTGCCGTGGAAAACACATGGTGGCTCCTCAAAAAGCTGAACGTGGAGTTACCACATGACCCAGCAATTCCACTCCCAGGCATACACCTGAAGAAGTGAAAGCAGGAACTCAAACAGAGACTTGGACACACCTGTTCACAGCAGCAGTGTTCACAGTAGCCAAAAGGTGGAAACGACCCAGTGTCCGCCTACAGGTGACTGGATAAACACCGGTATCCATGTAAAAGGGAATCCTATTCAGCCACAAAAATGAACAAAGTCTGCCATCTGCTACCAGGTAGACGAACACTGGACACATTGCGCAAAGTGAAAGAAGCCAGATACAAAAGATCACACACTGTACGATTACACTTAAGTGAAATACCATCCTTACTGACCTGGGGGCAACCGCTTCCCTATGGTCATAGCTCATGAAGTTTCAGCACCACATGGGACTTCAGCTCTAAGACACACCCTCCAAGCCGGATTCTGCCAGCAGCAAAGCCAGTGTTCTGACATCCGTCTGTCAGACTCCAGCCCGTCTGTCCCTCTGCGGGCTCCAAAGCCCAGCAACATGAAGTGTCTGTGCCCAGCCCCACTGTCCCCTCCCACACCAGGTCCAGCAACCACTGCCTTTTCAGCAAACTCGCCTTGACTGATGGCCATGTCAAAGATACTTCTGCAAACTGGTAAGTACACATGGTTTAGATTTTTTTTTTTCCTTCTAAGATACCATAATTACAGAAATAAGTCTTTCCTGCATTCCTTGGAATTGAGAATAACAAACGTTTTAAACAACTCGGTTCTCTCATAGCTTTTCAAAGATGTGAAACAGGAACATCTTGTGACTGAGAATGAGGAAAGGACATTTGGTGCATGTAACATCTTGAAAAAAGAAAAAGCAAGTGCATTAGTTAAAAATAGTAGGTCGGCATGCTTCTGGTGGAGACAGGAACAGACTGTCTAGCAGTGAAAGGCTCGTTACCTGTGGGACGTCGTCAAAGAGCCGCTGAGCAAAGTGCGAGAGCACGTCGTCCACAGACTTCCCGTTGCCAAACTGGATCACGGTGCCTGTGGCCTCGATGGCAGCCACCCGGACCTTCCAGTGCTGGTGGGAGATGGTCTGCATGAGAGGGCCGATCAGAGACTCTGACTGCATGTGGAAGTGGTCTGTGGGACAGGGAAGCCACCGATCACCAGTGTTTCTCCCACCTGTCTCACCCCAGGCCCAGCTCTGTGTACTACCAGGACTGGCCACCAGCATCTGTGACCTTCTCGCTCCCTTCCTCTCCCACCCAAGGCCCTTGCCGAGGAACAGCACACGATCCAGGCTGCCAAGCAAAGCTTCGAGTCACCTGACACAGGGAAAGGTTCAGGGATGGCACCTCTATGCCTCAAAGGCTTGGGGAGACAGATCAAAGGGAAAAGGCTGGGGGCTTGACCCCACTGCAGCTGAGGACGGGAGCTGTAGGAGGAGAGCCTAGGTCTGCTGACAGCTACAATGGGGACCTGAAAGGGACAGTGGCCAGAGGAAAGAAGATGAGCCCAGGACGCTGAGCATGTGCTCACTCCCAGATGCACCCAAAGCCAGACACCAGAACTCCTTCCAGAAATCAGACCAGCACCACTCTAAGCAATGTCACTCTACCTCCTATTTGTACAGTCCTCACAGGAAATCAGAACCAGAGGGGTCTCTCTGAGAGCCAGGATGACCATCTTGTTTTGGAGTTCTGGCCTCAGTGCTACACTATTTGGGACCCATCTATGAAATGGCCATTTCAATGATGCTTTGGTGAGTTCTTTAATCTCTCAAGTCCTCAGATACAGGCAGCTACTACCCAGTGTGACAGGGGCCAGAGGAGGTCTCCCATCCAGGAAAGAGGAGGGGTGGGGGGACGGTGTTGGGGATGGGGAGATGCTTCAAGCTAAAGAAACAGTCTTCCACTCCACAAGGCATCAGTGAACACCCACCACATGGCTCGGGCACATTCAGGCGCAGTCCTGCCCGTACAGAATGTACAGTCCAGCAGACAGGGAACATGGAAGGCTGGGAGCAACCCCCCCACACCAAAAAATGAGAAGCAGCCCAAGGGGGCAGGGAAAGAGACGGATGAGGGTGATGAGAAATGCATTAAACGTGTGGAGTTCCTAATGGCCATCTCCAGCCCAAGCCTTTCCCCTCAAACTCCACTAGAGTTCTAGACTATCTGAAATCCAAAATTAACGTAACCAAAACGGAAAAACTTTGATCTTATCCTAAGTGGGGTTCTTCCTTTGTCAGTCCACACCAGATCTCCTTCCTCACTCCTCACCCAATTCAACGAGAGGTTGTGTCAGTCCTACCTTCAAAATGTCCCTAACCTGTTCATTTTTCTCTGCCTCTATCAGCAGGCTTCCCCACCGAAGTCCAAGCCATCACTCAAAATATGGATTAATAACAGCCCCAATGACTCCCTCATTCCCTCTCTTGTCACCTCTCCAAGCTATTCTCCACACAGCACCAGTGATCTTTTAAAACCCCAGACCTGAGTTCTGTCTTCTCAACACATTTCCCCATTTCCTGCTAAATCCAAACCTTACCATGGTGGCACTGCCCACCGCGCGCCCCTGATGCCTCTCCCTCCCTCCCTTCCTGCTCCTCTGATCTGACCAGCTTATTTCTCAAGGCCGGCTCCCTCCCCTCCCGTCTAGGGATTTTCAGCTGTTCCCTCCTCCCTGAAGCCTTCCTGCCACCACTAAGTAGGCGCCTCTTATCGTTCCTCATCCCAGCCTGAGAGCAGAGAGAGGGAACCCGGGAAAGACCTGCATAAGTGGCTACTTAGGAAAAAGAAATGTCCTAGTCAGATGAGAGCGGTTAAAATGATGGCAATAGATTAAAGTGCAGGGAGAAGCGGCCTCCCTTGCTAAAGGACAGCAGTCGAGGACAGATGAGGAAAAAGAGGCCTACTCGAGTACAGAAACGGGGATAAAAAGCACTGAACTGACTGGAGCGGAGTTTCTCAAAGAGTGCTGTGTCGCAGCAACACCCGGATGAAAATCACCCCAGCGAGTGGCAGCTACCAGTGCACATCCCACCCCAACCAGTTCAAAAGAAGTTCCTGCGGTGTTTCCAGGAATCTGGACACCGGCAACGGTGGGGGTCGGAGAGAGGAGCACCAGCTTGTGCGTCTGGGCAAGGGAGATTGGGGGCGCGGGGGCAGGTAAGCGCAGGTAGGGAAGCTAGGGACGCGGGGCGCTCACCCGGCGTGGCGCGCGCCAGGGCGGCGGCGCACTGGCAGCTCTCACGGCGCACGGCGGCGAAGGGGTCGAGCAGCGTGCAGCGCAGCACGCGCACCGCCTCGTCCAGGTGGGGCGCGAGCGCCGAGCCGCCCAAGCCCACGGCCAGGCCGAGCAGCTGCACAAGCGCCAGGCGCAGCTCCTCACAGGCCTCTGGCGGCGGCCGGTGCGCAGGCTCAGGGCTGGCCAGGCGCGCGGCGAGCGCGGGCAGCAGGCGCGGCAGGGCGTCGCGGGGCCGCGCGGCGCGCCGCAAGCCCAGGCCCAGCAGGTGTGCGGCCAGTGCGCGGCAGCCCTCGGCCGGGTCGGCCAGGCAGCGCAGCAGGCGCGGCAACAGCAGGCGCGCCCAAGGGCCCTGGAAGGCGGCGGGGTCAGCGGCGGGCTCCGCTTCCTCCAGCGCGCGCCGCAGGGCCTCCAGCGCACGCCGCCGGCCCGGCTTGCTGTCGGCCTCCAGCCCCGGCAGCAGGCGGCTCAGGGCGCGGCTCAGCTCCACCGCCTCGGCCGACTCGGCCGCCTCGGCCGGGCCCGCGGCCTCCGCCAGCGCCGGCGCCGCCATCTTCCGCGTCTCCCGTCACCACGGGGAACCGGTGCTTTCGCGACGGCGCGGCGCGGCTTACGGCTGGACTTCCGGCGCGCCGCGCGGCTGCCGGAGGCGGGGCGGGGACTTCCGCTCTCAGGGTTCGTGGAAGGGTACCGGCTTCCTGCGGAGTGTCCAGAGTGGCCGGGTGGCCAGGGCAGGAGGTACTCTTCTCTGTGCCACTCGGCCGCTCCAGGACGAAGGGTCTGCTCCGCGGCTCAGATCCCGCTCGTGGCCGGGAGAAGTCGAGCGGGCTGGACGCCAGGCAGGACCCCGGGCCCACCACCAGCCGGGCTGCCCGAGGCCTCTCCGCCAGGGTCAGTTCCCTTAGTGAGTTTTCAAAAAGCAAAACGCCCCTGATTTTAAGGACTGAACTTTATTTTGAATTTGACACTTCTTTTTTGTTGTTGACGTTTGTTTTGCAAAACGGTGGTGTTAACCGGCGAGCATGTGTTTTTCAAATGTGGTATGGTAGCATTGTGTAACCTAATTCACTGTTTCCTCCTACAGGCGTTCGTTTGACCGGACATTGTCTGCGGCCCTTGCGCTCACAGATCCTGTGGCCTTGCAGGAGGGGATAAGCCCTTAATGGAAAAATCACATTAATAAATGTTTAGCCACAGTGATGGTAAGAGTGAATGTCAGAGGAGATTGATGTAGACTTGTAAAGCTTCCAGGAGCAAGTGACAGCAGAAGTGAAATATGCAGAATAAGTAGTAGTTAACCAGGTGAAATGGGGAGGGGTGGAGACAGTTGCAAGGGAGGAAACAGCGTAGGCAAAGGCCCTGTGGTGAGAGTTGTTATAGGCTCCTATGTCGATGTCCTAATCCCAGTACTTGGAATGTGACTTTATTAGGAGACAGTGTCTTTGCAGACGTAACCAAGTTAAGATGAGGACATTAAGGTGGGTGCTAACATAATATGACTGCTGTTCTCATAAAAAGGAGGAATTTTGGAAACACATGTGCACAGGGAAAATGCGACGTGAACATGACACGGCTGTCTACAAGCCAAGGACAGAAGCCTCAGGAGGAGCCAGCCCTGCCCACACCCCATCTTGGACTTTCAGCCTCCAGAACTGTGAGAAGTAAATGTCTGTTGTTCAGGCCACCCATTCTGTGTTTGTTACAGCAGCCCTAGGAAAGGAACACAGGACACTGCTCCAGAAAATAAAAGCTTCTTGTGGGGGAGCAGGCGGGGAGTGGTGAGATAGGTGGGGCCAGACCACAGGACTTTGGACTTAAAATAATGGGGGCCTCAGGTTTTAAGGTGGGCACATTGGCAAGATCAGGTGTTCACTTTTCACAGACTCCTTTGGCCACCATTGAGGGATGAGTTGGGAGAGAGCCCCTTGGATGACTATGGCGGTGGTCCAGATGAGAGATGGTGAATGCTTAGGATCGTGGGAATTCACTTTCCCCTGCTCCTCGTGTTGAGGTACAAGTAAATACTCTGCACGTAATTCAACAGACAACAAGGAAAGGATCCTGAGAGTTGGAAGTGAGAAGACAGACTGGCTGGGGACCTCAGGCCTGGAGGAACAGCAGTGCACTGGGTTCTCTGGGCTTTCTTTTTCTCTCTTACATACTCCTGGATTAGGCAACAGAGAGGCCTGCAACCCAGAGCAACCAACAGGCGTAGACGAATTTTCAGGGAAAGCCTCCTCTCTCTGGCTAGAGGACTGGGAATGGGGATGCCCCTCAGAAGTACAGTGGGGAACTCCCACCTCCCCTCCACTGTCTGCCCCGGGACAGCTTCAGAACCCCCACAGGCCCACCCAACCCTTACTGCATGACTGGGGTGCCAGTGGGCAGTCCACACTGCACAGGCAGTGCCAGTGGAGCCTGAAATCTTCTGACCTTTCTCCTGGTGGCACAAGGAGGCTCAGGAGGAGCATTTTCCCCGCTCCCACCACAGCAGAAGGTGGCCCAGCAACACCAGGTGGCGCAGTGAGGTGCCTTCCAACCCTGCAGGCAGCACCAGCAGGGACTGAGCAGCAGCTCTAGCCATGCCAATAAAGCAGAACTGGAGGGCAGCTCGAGGGCTCTGAAGACGAAACAGTCATTGGAACCACAGGCCGCAAAGGTGGGCACAAACTACGCTAAACCTGAGCAGGGTGGCTGCCTGCTAAAACAGAAGATTTAAATAGAACCAGTAGTCTCCACAGGTAATAACCCAGATGTCCAGGATACATGTGAAAATCATTTGTCATACCAAGAACGAGTAAAACTACAATTTGAGCGTGAAAGGACAGTTAACTGACATGTGTGCCAGGGTGGACCAGATGTTGGAATCATCTGTCAAGGGTAGTAAAGCAGTCATAAAAGTGCTTCAAAAAGTAATTACAATTTTTTGAAACAAATGAAAAAATAGAAAACATCAGCAAAGAAATAAAAGTTATGAAAAGAACAAAGTGGAAATTATAGAACTGAGAAATACAGTAACAAAAATAATAGCATGTCCTTTGGGGGGTCACAGTGTTGAACAGAGATGGCAGAATCATCCTGGAGCTGAAGAGAGTGCAATAGAATTTACTCCACCTGGCCACAGCTGGAAAACAGACCCAGGGAATGGGCAGAGTCTCAGAGACCTGTGAGACAGTTATTTGTATTACCAACTTCCCAGAACAAGAAGAGAAAGTGTGTGGGACTAAAATTTCTGAAGAAATAATGGCTGAAAATGTCCCAAATTCAGTGAAAGACATAAACCCACAGAATCAAGAAGCTGAGGCCAAACATGGTGGCTCACACTTGTAATCCCAGCACTTTGAGAGGCCAAGATGAGAGGATCACTTGAGACCAGCCTGTGCAACATAGTGAGACCCTGTCTCTACAAAAAAGTAAGTTAGCTGGGCCCTGTGGCTCATGCTTGTACACCTAGCAACTCAAGAGGGGGAGGCAAGAGGATCATTCAAGCCCAGGAGTTCAAGGCTGCAGTGAGCTGTGATGACGCTGCTGCACTCCTGCCTGGATGACAGAGTGAGACCCTATCTCTTAAAAATAAAGTAAAAAGCACTGAGCAAGCCCTGGTATGGTAAGTCCCCCAAAAGTCCACACCAAGACACATCATCATTAAACTTCTGAATTCTAAAGACGGAGGAATAACTATTACAGCCAGACGAACCAACATATTACTACAGAGGAATACCAATTTGAATGACAGCAGATTTCTTATCCAAAACCACAGAAGCCAGAAGGAAGTGAAAGCCATTTTTCAAGTGTGGAAAGAAAGGAGCTGTCAGCTGTGAACCCTCTATCCAGCAAAGCTGCCCTTCAGGAATGAAAGAGTAAAGATGTTCTCAAACAGAAGCAGACCGATAGAATTTGTTGCTACCAGACCTCCCTTCAGGAATGCCTGAAGAAAGCTCTCTAAAAACAGAAAGAAATTCTAACAGGCAGACTGACACCCTCAGGAACTACAGAAGAAAAATGCAATGTGAGAAATAGACCATCTCTCACCTCACAAGTTTCGTCAATCATATCTGATGGTTGAAGCCAAAATTACAACAGTGATATGGGGCTTGGTGTATGCGGAGGAGGAAATATTTACAACAAATATATTTAAAACACGAGAAGGGTAAGGGGCTTAAGTTGAAATAAGGTTTCCACACTGCACTTGGAGTGGTGAAGCGTTGACACCGACAGACTGATAAGGTCCATGCTTATATGATGGTATCTTGAGCAGCTGCTAAGGAGACTACATGTAATGAAGTACTCAAAACCATTGTGAAGTGGAATTCTAAAAAACGTCCAAATATGCCACATAAAGCATGGGGGAGGGAACAAACAAAAAGCAAATAATAAAGTGGCAGATGTACCCCTAAATGGCCTAAACACGCTAACTAGAAGACAGAGATTGGTAGAGTAGATAAAGCTTGACCCAACTGTATGTCTACTGTATGCTGAAGCTCATTTCAAACACAAGGACATGGGCAGATCAGAAATAAAAGGATGGAAAAGTATATCATGTAAACATTAATTTCTTAAAGGCAGGAGTGGCCATACTAATATCAGCCAAAGTGGACTTCAGAACAGGGGAAAGAGAGGGACATTACATAGTGACAAAAGAACCAACCCAGGAAGGTACAGCAATCCCAAATATGTACACACCAAACAACAGAGCTTCGAAATACATAAGGCAAAAACTGACAGAGCTGAGAGGAGAAAGAGACAAGTCTGCCAGTGTGGCTGAGGACTTGGGCTCCCACTCTCAGCATTTGCTAGATCTCCTGGACATGGTCAGCAGGATATAGCAGGATGCCAGCCTCAGCCAGCAGCGTCTAATGGACATTTACAGAACTGCACCGACAAGCAGCAGAATTCACACCAAGTGCCCACAGAACAGGCACCAAGACAGATCATGCCCTGAGCCATAGAACCTTGGCAAATGTAGAAGAGTTAAATCCTACAGAGCATGTTCTCTGACAAGAGTGGCATCAAACTAAAAATGAGCAACAGAAACAACAGGACTATCTCCACACCTGGAGATTAGACAACACAATTCCGACATAAAAAGGAGACTACTGATCCTTGCAACAACTTGATTGCATCTCTAAAAGACTATGAATGTAAAACCAACTCCAAAAAGGATAATTTGTGGTTTCATTTACATAACATCAATGGAATAACATAATTAGAGAGATGGAGAACCGATCTCTGATCTCTGTGGGGCTTGGGGGGGCGGGTGGGTGTGATTGTAAAGGGGCAGGAGGAGGGGCCATGTACTGACCTGGGTCACGGGGCAGCTGCGTGAGTATTCAGAGCCAGTAGGGCCACCTGTCCCTTTCCCAGGACACGATGCCAGGCTGCATGGAAGTAAACAAACTGGATTACAGAAGCAGGAGCAATAGAACAGAAGAGCTGATACTGTAAAACAAATAAGACTTGCCTATAAAAGAGAGAAAATTCTTTATCTTATTGATGTGAAACAGGAGCAAGAGTGTATAAAAGAAAGGGTGAGGGATACAGACAGAAGCAGAAATGCTAATACCTGCTTAATAGATGTTCCAGAAAATAAAAATGGGGAGTAGGAAATATTTGAGGAGGTAACGAGGACAAATCTTCCAGAGTTAAAAATGAAAGATCTTCAGATGGAAGGACACAGAGTGCCAAAGAGGAGAGAGAAGGAGAAACCCACACATCGAGCTGTTGTGAGATGTAAGGCTATCAAAGATAGATTCACAAACTGACAAAGAAAAAGAACAGATTGCCTTCAAAGGAACAAGAATCAAATTGACATCAGGTGTTTTTCAGTAATTCCACAAATGCCATTATGATTGATTCTAGTTGCCTATCAAGAGTCAAAAATGTTGATTTTTTCCAAAAGCAAAATATTCAGATACTTAAATCAAAATACATCAAAAGAAAGGGAATAATACAGGTAAGTATAGAAATAAATGAATAGAAAAACAAATATACCATAGAGAGTATCAACAAAGCCAAGCGTTTGTTCAAAAGAATAAAATTGATAAACCCGTCAAGACCAAAAAAAAAAAAAAAAAAAGCACAAAAATACCAATATGAGGAGTGTAAAAGAGGTTATCACTACAGGTTCTAAACAAATGAAAAAGATAATGAAATAATATAAACCAATTTATATCAAAAAAGTATATGAAATAGAGAAATCCTAGGAAAACTCGACTTCCTAAAACTTACACAAGAAGAAATAGAAAACCTCAGGCACCTAATGCCCATTAAAGAAATTGAATTTGTAATTTGAAAGCTTCCCACAATGAAGGCCAGCGGTCCAGATAGCTTTACTGGCAAATATTAATTTTCATATTAAATATGAAGTGTTCTATTTCAAATCAAAAGTTTATTACATCTCAAACAAGAAGCAGTACAATTAAAGTATGTGCCTAAACTACTGACACAGTGTTGCCGTTTTAATGGTAGCTCGTTTATGCCAGCAGTGAAGCAGCCTGGAGAGTGAGTGGTGATGAAATCACCAAATGCGTTTTCCACAGCTTGTTGAAAATTGAATATTTTTCATTTCAAGAAGTGGTCCAAAGCTGGGAAGAAGTGGTAGTCAGTTGGTGCAAGGTCTGGTGAATACAGTGGATGACAAAGAGTTTCAAGTCCAGCCTCTGTAGTTTCAACAGCGTTGTTTGTGTGACATGTAGTCGAGCATTATCTTGCAGGAGGATTGACCTGTGTCTATTGGCCAGTCTCGGCTGCTTAATCGCAAGCATCCTCATCACTTCCTCCAACTGGTTGCAGTAGACATCCACTGTAATCGATTGACCAGGATTCATGAAGCTGTAGTGGATAATACCAGCCCTGGACCACCAAACAGACCCCATTAGCTTTTGTTGATGAATATTCAGTTTTGGACTGTGTTTCGGCACTTCATCTTTATCCAACCATTGTGCCAAATGCTTGTAATTGTCAAAAAGAATCCATTTTTCATCACACGTTAACAATATGGTGTAGAAATGGTTTGCCTTTATGTCATGATAGCAGAGAAAGGCAAGCTTCGAGACAATTTCTCTTCTGACGCTTGTTTAATTCACACAGAGCCCATCTATCCGGCTTCTTTACCTTGCCCATTTGTTTCAAATGGTCCAATATTGTTGGAGTAGTAGTGTCAAACCTTGCTGCTGATTCACACATAGATTGAGATGGATTCGCTTCCACTACAGCTTTCAGTTCATCATTATCCACCTTGGTCTCAGGTTGCCTATGTGGCTCATTTTCAAGATTAAAATCACCAGAATGGAATTTCTCAAACCACCCATGTACTATGCATTCACTAGCCACACCCTTCCCAAACACTTCATTGATATTTTGTGCTGTCTATGCTGCATTGGTTCCACGACAGAACACATATTCAAAAACAACACAAAATTTTGACTTATCCATGGTTTCACAAAAATTGCTCTAAAAAAAATTGGACACATAATCACAAGACAAACCATGTGTTTGAAAGACTAAGGATGTACCTTCACAATAAAAATAAAGCAAGAGGAGTCAAAGTGAAATGTCAAAGATATCGACTGTCAAACTTAGTACTTAAGGAAATTGGACATTTCATACTTACTAACCTAATACTTAAAACCTTTAATAAATAACTCCAATCTTAAATAACCTCTTGCCAAGAATAGAAAGAGGGGAACATTTCCCAATTCATTTAATGAAACTAGCTTCATGACAAGGACATTTCATGAAAGGAATATTGTAGATCAACTTATTTTATTGAATGTAGATACAAAAATCTTAAACAAAATATTAACAAATCTAGAGATATAAAAAGGATAAATCATGATCAAATTGAGTTTATTCCAGGAATGCAAGTTGACTTAATCAGTGTAATTTACCACATTAAAAAATGGAGAAAAACCATGGGATTGTCTCAGAAGATGCAGAAAAAGCATTTCCTGTTTATGATAAAATTTTTAGCAAATCAGGAATAGAAGGAAACCTCTCTAAGTCAAACCTATAAAGATCCCACAGCAAATATATAAAATTCTGGTAGGTAGTTCCAAAGACAGCCACTGACAATTCTTTCCACTCCTGCATGTCTCTCCAGTGCGTTTCCACCAATGTTGAATCCCAGCTGGCCTTGGAACTTGCCCTGGCCACTAGAATGTGGTGGAAATGGTGCTGAGATGCTCCCAAGCTGGTGTACAGGAGATCTAGCAACCACTTCACACCTGTTAGATTGGCTGTTATCCAAAAACAAGAAAATAACAACTGTTGGCTGGGATGTGGAGATGTCGCCAGCACTGCTGGTGGGAATGTAAGATGCTGCAGCCACTGTGGAAGACAGGATGGAGGTTTCTCAAATAATTAAAGACAAGACTGACCACCACAGGATCTAGCAATCCCACTTGTGGGTACACACCCAAAAACATTGAAAGCAGGGACTTAAAAGAGGTATTTGTACAACCCTGTTCTCAGTAGTGTTATTTACAATAGTCAAAAGTCACAAACAGCCCAAGTATCTGACAACCCGATATCAGTGGTCGAGGCAAAGATCTCCATCAATGGAGGTTTATTAAGCCAACGTTGAGGGAGCACCTGGGAAAAACACAAACCAGACAAATCTGTGGCTGTTTTTCCTAAGGGGAGTTCAGAGGTTTCAGTATTTAAGGGCAGTAGGACACAGGGACAGAAAAAAAATCAGAGGGGATGGTGGGGAGACAAAGTGGTTACATTCTTGTGAGACCCAGGGAAATCTACGTTTCACGTAGGATAAGGC